CTCCCCCTTTTTTTTTTTTTTTAAATAATGTAGTCATGGGTTGTTTTTTCCCGAGAATTGTGGTTGCTTCTGAGCTGATACTGAAGAGTGGCTAGAGCTTCAAGCTGCTTACGCTGTTGGTGGTAATGGTAGCATTGGAAAGTTTCTTTCAGGATCATCAGAAGTTCTACTGTTGCCCTTAAGTTGCCCTTAACTGTGAAGATTTTAGAGGAACTGATGTTATGTACTCTTGGGTTTTAGGACCACGAGTAAAGATTTTAGTCTCACATCCAAGTGAGTTCTGATAATACTTGCCTTAGAATAACTACTTACTTATTAGAATAATCTTTGCTCTGCTTCACTAAATGCGTTCCACTGGCGAAATTAAAGACTGGGACATAACAAAAGACTTGGTATCTGCCTAGAATTTAAGCAAAAGAGTTCAGATTAGTTAGAATGTGCTTTAATGAAAAGACTATTTGGAAATCTGTGGTTCAGACATAAAACAGTTCAAAATATTTTGCTTGGTGAATATTTCAAAGTCAGATGCTCCTCTAAAAAAAGCATAGTAACACCACTGAAATCTCCAATTCCACCACAGCAAAAAAATCTTGTAAAGCCAGCAAGCAAAAAACAAGTCACAAACCAAACGACTTTTTTCCCAGCTTCCTAAAGCAGAAAGTTTTCCTATGCTAGCAAAAGCCAGCTCATTATGGAAAGAGACGATTTTCTAGAAGTTGTGCTCGATAGGTAAACATAAGAGAATTTATTTTCTTCTTATTTTAGCTTTGAAGCGATTTCATGGTTCTTCAGAGTATCAAAGGGAGATGGAAGACATACAGCGGGAGTGTTTTGCCTTAGATGGGGAGAAACCCAAGAAGCCCTGGCAATTATTCGCTGATCGCGGTGTGAGATGGCAGCTCATTACTGTGATTGTGATGACTATGGGCCAACAGCTCAGTGGAATAAATGCTGTAAGATTTCATGCATACAAACAGCTTAAATAATTATTTAATTTCTGTCTGCTTTTCAACCTTTTATTAACACGAGGGATCCACGTAGAGAAGCTCAGAGAAATGGGAAAAGTGGGAAAGAATCTCTTTGTATTATTTCAGTGTTTCTCTTTTTTCCCTTTTTTTTTTTCATTTCTGTGTTTCTGGTATGTAAATTTCTTTGAAGAATGACTTAATACTTATGTTTACATCTACTGAAAAAGTAAATAAAGGTGGATCAGCTTATCCCATTGTGTCTGGCTTAGGAATGTGAAGTATTATCTTCAGTAAGTTGAGTAATTATGTTTGCTTTTATGATAGCACTGTATTTACCTAGACATGAATTTGACAGATTCTTCTGGCTGTTTACATCAAATTAATAACTCACAATATAAATACATTGAGCTGTATGTTTAGTATGAACTTGACTTAGTTTCCAGCTGATGATTTAACTACTGGGAATGCCCCATTATTATTTTCTTTTCCTGTTGTAGATCTATTTCTATGCAACTTATATTTTTGAACAAGCTGGGATCTCAGCAGTAAAAATCCCGTATGCGACACTCGGCACTGGAGCTTGTGAATGCCTCACAGCCCTCACCTGTGTAAGTAAGGATTTGTTCTTCCTCATAGCATAAAGAGTAACGATTCTTCTTGAAGAAGAATACTGGTAAATATGAGATCAATATAATAACAGAAAATGATGTCTTGTCCACAGGGCTTACTGATAGACCACGTGGGAAGAAGATGTCTCATCATTGGGGGTTATCTCCTTATGACCCTGTGGAGCATTGTTCTAACGTTCTCTCTGACTTACCAGGTATAGAGAAGGACTCATTTATATTACGTGATAGGGCTGTAGTGAGTGAAAATCTGTGACGCTCAAAAGAAGCTGGAAGATTAAGAGCTGCATAGGTTGAAACAGCAGCATAAAAAATGACAGCAATTGAAAGATTTGATCAGTTCTGCAGCCATATTTCCCTAAAATAAGAGAATGCTCTCAACTAAGATACAGCCATGTATTTGTCTTAAAACTGCAGCTGCATTTAATGCTGACAGAACTAAGTGAGGACAAAACAGTGTTTGTTCTAACTTCTAAAGTAATTTTAGGATTAAATAGTACATAGCAGTGATATTAAGCATCAGGGTCCACTTCGGTCACCTAATTGTAAAGCACACAATCAAGCAAAAACTAAAGATGCTGAAATTGAAGACACTTAAATCCATTAAGTGTAAATTCACAAAAACTATTGGAAACGCGATAGAGATATTGACAGTGCCTTAAATGTATCATGGGAAGACAACATCCCCACTCGCTTTTTGATGTAAAGAGATGCATTGTAAATTGTTCTGTATACTGTATCTGCTCAAATAGGGCAGCCCCACAAACCTCCTGAAATGAACGTTTAGAGGAAATCTATCTACATTTGCAGACTGTACTATAGGAAGTATTGTTACCTTCGGGTAATCCAAGGAAGATGATGCAGGTGTAGCTCCAACAGTGAGCAACTCGATTTAGTCAGTGTCCGGTTGCTTGGTAAATCCTTATCTGACAAAGGTGGGATTAAAGAGCTGCAATTCTCTCCCTACCCAGCCCATCGGTGTTTGGAGCTAGCTTTAAGCAGGTGGATCACATGCAGTCACGTTGCAGGTCTGATGCTTGGAGGGACAGGAGGGTTAGGAGCTGCTCAGGTTGGCAAGCAGGCCACAGAGGAGGCACATTTTGGTGTGGTTGGAATAAAGTAAGCTGGCAAAAAGCTGAATGAGCCAGCTGTTAGGCAGAGGCCTAGGTTTAATTGTTGTAACTTTTGTGAATTTCTTGGTTTGCTTTTGAATAATGGGATTTCACGCTTAGGTTTGGTCTTTCTAATGCACCTAGTTTCATAGGTGTATAGTAATCCTAATGTTTCTTTACGGCACTATTGAAATTTATGTATACATAAGTAACATGATGAGAAGTTTGTTCGCGCTATGAAAGTGCTTAATGACAGCTAACTCATGGGATCAGTACACAGTCCCAAAATAAACACCGACAAAATATTAAACTAGTAACAACACATAATTGTTACATTTTATATCGATCGGTGTAAATTTTTGCCTCAGAGGACTAATTACAAATATTGACAAAGTACTGGACTCCATTCAGTAAAGATTACTAAATGAACAATACTGCAGTTTCTCTGGAGCAGTACCGTTAAATAAATCAGCTGTAAACAGCCATGAATGACTGTTGGTCTTAGCTGCGGTAAAATAGCAAAAGGAAATGTAACCGTTAAGCCAAACTTTGAGGTGGTTTAGTTCAGATTTTGATAATCCACTTTTATTCTCTTCTGTTCCAGGAACTGTACTCATGGGTGCCTTATGTGAGCATGGTATCTCTGTTTGCCTTCATCTTGAGCTTTGGGTTGGGACCAGGTATTACACAGTAATGAAAGTTTTACAGGGGTGAAAGGTGTGTCTGGGGCTAGGGGGGGATGTCGGCAGCTCTGCTGTGTAAGCCAGGCAATATTTCCTGCAAGGCTGCTGATGCTCTGGCTAAGGAATGCAAATGAGCCCATCTCATCAGAACAGTTCAGGCTCCCATAGCCTAGAACTGAGCACATCCATTTTTCTGGCATTGGAAATACCACAAATGACCATTTGGCATAATAACCTGTTCTGTTTCTAAAACTCATTCCCCCAGGTGGCATAACAAATACCATGACAGCCGAATTATTTATACAGTCCTCACGTCCTGCTGCTTATATGATAGGAGGGACTATTAGCTGGATTAGTTTCTTTGCGATTGGAATGCTCTTTT